TCCCATCTAAATTGATGTTTTTCATAGTATGAAACCCAAATGATACTTGCTATTTTTGTTATATATACCTCACTTTGTGAGCTACTTGCAGTCATTTGAAAACAGTCCTTTTTTTTTTCTAAGACTGTATGAATTTGGAGAAATGCTTGCTATTGTTGGATATAACTATTGGATATGTCTGCAGCTCTTGGGCCTAGGCTTCTTATTGTTTGTCTGACAGCAATAAATAACTTCTCTGTACATCCCTTATTGTGTAATAAGTGTATATAGTACTCAATGAGAATAAAAATGTGTTTGATTTAAAAATAATATAATGTGCTATTTAATGTATGGTTCAGGGAAGTTATTTTGCATGAAAGCAAGTACATTATTCTAAGATACCCGGATTCTAATCCTGGCTGTAGTGTTTACTTGTTGCATTATATGGAGTTCAAACAACAGCGGCAGTTTCCTCATCTGTAAGATGAGATGTGATCTTACATGTTCTCTAGTGCTCAGAGTACGCTGTCAAACTTTCTATGTGCTGAATGCCATCAACAATTAATAGCATGACTAACTTGAAAAAGAATTTGTCCTGTAATAAGAGGTAGACCTGCCATATTAATAAAAACAAAGATGATAGTTTGCTTTTCACTGATTTCTAACATTGTGTACTTACATTGCTTAAGGACATTTTGAACAATTGCAGATGGCATGTGTGACAGTGGTCACAGCAAACTCTAGCCTTAATGTATAGTAGGCTATGCCATCTAGGCTTGTCATTACACTTGAGATTTTTACACGAAATTGCCTAGTGATTAATTTCTCAGAAAGTACCCTGGACATTATGTGATGCCTGACTACAAGTTTTCCATTTTATACTGTATCAGTCTGCTGTATCATTTTTTATTTAAAATACCACATTTGTATTTCATGATCCTCTAGACCAAAAAAACATGATTTGACTTGCATCTACAGCACAATCTAATACAGTGGATGATGTATGTAAACTCTTTGAAATTTTAAATTATCTGCAAATGCTTATTTTGTCTAAGGTGACTTAACAGAAGAAAAAAAAATTTCATTGACTAAGTGAATGTCACCTTTTGGTGAGTAGTAGGCTATATTAATATTAAAAAATCTAACCATATTGTACTGATTTAAATGTTCGGTTTAGCAGTAGTTTTTATCTTTAAGATGAATTTAATAGTAATAATTAGGAGCAGATTATGTTTCAGATACAACCTATGAAAGTTTAATATATTTACTGGCAACAGTTATGTTTCTGTAACAATATACATTTATTTCAAGGTATAAAACCAAGAAAAAGAAAGACTTTTGGTTTGCCAGGAATAATTAAAAAGGAAAAGGATGCAGAGTCTGTGTAAGTATATTAAATACTGTCAAATTCCTTTCTATTAAGATTAAAACTTGTTTTGAATTAAAAAAATCAAACTCAGTTTGTGTCTGAGGTGTGAAAAATACAGAATTTCCAAATACATTGCAGGCTCTTCTGGTTTTAGTTAAAGATACTAATTTTTTTACTTAAAAATATTAAAATGAAAATAGTGTTTTGAAATTGAAACCTTAAAATACTGATTTCATAAACTGATAACATGGACATAATAAAAAATTAAAAGCAAAGAGAAAACTAAAAATTAGTATAAGTGTTGCATTGCACAAGAGAAAACCCATGGTCAACAATTTGGTGAAAATATTTTAAGACAACTCTTACAATATTGCTACTTAGTGCTAATGTACATGCATGCATTTTCTCTTCACATACATGTGCACACACAAGTAACTGGGAAATGCTAAATGGGAGAGGAAAAAAGCCCAAAATTTTTTATACTAGGTATCAATTTTAGATGGAGGATACAGATAAATTCATTTCACCTTTTTTAAAACTAAGAAATTAATATGCAAAAGCATGTTAATTATAAGATATTTTAATAGCTAGGTTCGTAAAGTTTTCTTCCTTATATTAGAACTAGCTGAAAAATTAAATATTGTCTGTGGCAGACCCCATCATAAACAGTTATACCAGATTCTTGAGGCAGAAGGCCCCAGAATAGTTTTGGTTTTGCTTTAAGCAGTGCTAATGTATAGCTTAGGTTGATAATTGAGTAGTGATTAACCAGAGATAATAGGAATTAGAGAAACCTTTCTTTCTGTAAAGAAAAATTACTCAGTCTGGTTAGCCTGAAATAACGCTAATCAAACGTCTTGAGTGATTTGTTGACCCAATAAGAATGACTGAAAATTCATTTAAAATCCTACTTCTCAAGCATAATCAACAGACCTCTCATACCATTTACTACTTTGATGGGTTCTGATTTTTAATGAAACCGGTTGTGTGCTTTGGATTTTCTTGCTTCTAACATAGTTTTATTTTTATCACTGAATTGCTTCCATTCTAGTGAATTAATGTCTTTCTTCTCTGAAGTTTTATTTGACTAACAAAATAAGACCAATTGTAAAGTGACTTATAGTATTTTTTTTCCTATGAGCATTAATGGAATATTTTGCTAGTGGGATGGAATCTAATCTTCCAGAAAATTTGGAAGACATATTGAAGTTAAAACAATTGATTTGTAAGTGTTTCTATTAGTGACTACATTGTAAAGAGTAATGGCCTCAAATTAAAATTTTTCTAAACATATTTTTAAACAAAAGCAGATATGCTAAATTATCTTAATTGCTTTAATTTTGTACCAGGATTGAATTTGTTAAATACCTGTTTTGGAACATTTGCTCAGAATATGCAAAGGTTTTTTTGAGGTAATATTCCTCATTTACTGGTACTAAGGAATTTTTCAAATTTTAAGGACTTAAGTGACTTCTAAGTGAAGAGAAAGAACCCTGGAGTTTGCATTTATCTTGTCTATTTGGCATTCAGCTTGGAGTAAAAATAATATAGTCACTTACCTCTTTTTGCATCTTTCAAATCTCTTCCATACTGTTTTTTCCCTTAACAGAATTCTTCAGTTTGTGATTTTTTTTTTAAGATTTATTTATTTATGCTTACAGAACTGGGGTACAGGCCACAGGTGAAGGGGTGCTGAGAGACTTCACTGGAGACAGAGTGGGGAATAGAACAGACTGACGACGTACACTGTTGAGGGAGCAGTGGGCGGGTCAGGAGAGTTCTGCCGTGCCAAGTGGGTCACCTCCTGGGTGAGGATCAAACTTGTGCTGAAGTGGCTTTAGCTTCTTAGTGCTGCATTTACCTGCAACGCCACCAGGGAGGGCCCCAGTTTGTAGTTTTTTTATGGTTCATGCTTAGTCTTTGGGTAGAGATTACCTGTTTATCTTATACATTAATTTAGTGGGTTTTTTTTTTTTTCAGTTGTTCATTTGACTCCTAAGGTGTACCTAATGTCAATGTTATCAGCATATTAAAGTGTTGATTCTGATACATGCAATAATGGCATTAAGTCAAAGAATATATAACTACTCCAAATACCTTTTAAATATATACTACATTTTTGTTAGTGAATTTGTTTTAGAGTACATATAAATTTCTTCTAAACTTATTCCTCAGAGCCTCAGCATCTTTAATTTTATGTATTTAGGTCTTTATCTGACTGAGAAGTTTCCTCTTTGTTTTAGTTTTACATTAAAAAATGGCTCATGGGCCCTCCCTAGTGGCGTAAAACACAGCACTAAGAAGCTAAAGCCACTTCAGCATGAGCTGGATCCCCACCCTGGAGGTGATCCACGTGGTGAGGTAGACCTCTCCTGACCCGCCTGCTGCTCCCTCAGCGTGTGTTTTGTCAGCCTGACCTACTCCCCACTCTGTCTGGTGAATCCTCTCACCGATCCTACACCTCTGGCCTGTACCCCAGTTTAAATAAATAAATATATATATAAAAAAAGTTCACACTGGCCCTCCCTGGTGGCGCAGCGGGTTAAAGCACAGCACTGAGAATCTAAAGCCGCTTCCGCATGAGTTCGATTCCCGCCTGCCCCGGAGGTGACCGCATGGCGCGGCAGACCTCTTCTGGCCCGCCCGCTGCTCCCCTCAGCAGTGTACTTCGTCGATCTGCCTGTTCTGCTCCCCACTCTGTCTCTGGTGAAGCCTCTCGCCGCCCCTGGGCCTCTGGCCTGTACCCCAGTTCTGTATGCACAAATAAAAAAATCTTTAAAAAAAAAAAAAAAAAGTTCACACTGGTTTACACCTACACTTACAATTTTCAATTAAATGCTAAAATACCAATTTAATTTTAGTATTATATCCAACTGGGTGTTTGCTCAGTTAGTATACTTTAAGAAAATAATACATACTAGCTTAGGGAAAGTACTTCAGGTGAAACTGAAGTTTAAAAAGTTATTTTTGATCATTTGCCCACAAATGTAAATGTACTTTCTTAAACTACTTTGAGGATTTTTTTTCCCCCTCTGTCTGAAGAATTAAGACATTGGAAATTTTGAAGAACTGACAGCTTCCTTGATATGATTCATAAGCATATTCATGCAGAAGTACTTTTAAAACTAGTTTCTAAAATAATTGTAAGCTCTTTGTATTTTGTCACAAAGGAATGCTTTCTTTTGAATTTCAAGTGACTTAGTATATTTTAATCTTCCTCATTTGATTTCTCTAAATATTTTTGTAGAACTTAAATACTAACATAAATGCTTTCAATATAATATAATTATCAGATAGTTCTAATAATTCTTATGTTTTGTTTAACAGGGAGTGCCCTGATGCAGATTCACTTGTAAGTAGATTTTACTTTAATATAAACAATTTAAATTAGATATTTTCAGTAGGAAATATTCAGTGTATTCATCATGAGTTATTTACACAGCTTTGTAAGACAAATATTGTATTGTGAATTCATTTAAATTATTGTACAGGTGCTTTTGTGGTTTTATGTTGCCATATGGATTCTTATTAAAGGAATCCTTTGAAGCGTGGACTTTTCAACATACCTTTCAAAAGTAGATTTTAAAATAGTAGTACCATAGTATATTGATTTCATTTCTTGGAAAATATGCCAAATCTCATCTGTTTACTTTAGTAAGAGCACATTTTTAAAATAATATAATAGTTTATTTTTGCATCATTTTGTGCCTTTTTCCGTGTCAGTTGTAATCCCCGTGGCTTCCCATCACCAAATCACCCATGTACCATCACCATAGACCAGTGCATTCCCTCCCTGTGCCCCCCCTCCCCCATTTTTTGATTCCATTCCCCACTCCCATCAAATGTCTGGTATATAGTTGTTCAGTATTATTATTTCCCATGGTCCTTTATGCTCCTGCTATGAGTGAAACCATCCAATATTTTTTTTCTTTCTGGCTTACTTCACTAAACATGATCCGTTCCAGCTCCATCCATGTTGCTGCAAAAGGCATGTGTTTTTGATTGCTGAGTAATATTCCATTGTATATATATACCACATTTTTTTGATCCATTCATCTACTTTCGGGCATTTGGGTTGATTCCATGTCTTTCCTATTGTAAATAAAGCAGCAATAAATATGGGGGTGCAGGAAGAGTAATTTTAAAATAATTTATTCTTAGCTATATTAAAACCTACTTTATCTGTTCAAGTATTTTGAGTTTTGTTTAGAAAAAAGAGCAACAACCAAATTCAGTATTTTTCTGTGTTTATTTTAAAGGCAGCTTATTTACCCTGAATATATTTCATTATATTTAATTAAAGGAGACATTAAATGGTGCTCCCTGGTGTTATAGTGGAGGACTAGATTTAGCAAATGTATTTACGTAGACATATTTTTCAATTTGTTCATGACACTGTTCATTTTGATAGATACAATAGTCAGACAGTTGCCTTTATTTCCTTGCTTTTGCATAATTGTTGTTTCTTTTTTCCAATAACATTTTAATCTTTTACAGCTTATTATATATCAGAATAAAAAAGACATTTTGAGAAATAGTATTTTGTTATATAAATAATACGAAATTGGTTTTTAGTTCATATTTTAGCTTTAAAATAAGAGTGATTTTTTTAGTAAATTTACAATGAAAATAGATTTCTGATGATCTTTAGGATTAAAATCATTGAATATTTCTGGAGTTATAACACTTACCTTACCACTTGCCTCTTTTTTTTTTTTTTAAAGATTATTTATTTATGCATACAGAACTGGGGTACAGGCTAGAGGTGCAGGGGCGGCAAGAGGCTTCACCAGAGACAGAGTGGGGAGCAGAACAGGCTGACTGATGAAGTACACTGCTGAGGGGAGCAGCGGGCGGGTCAGGAGAGGTCTGCCACGCCATGTGGCCACCTCCGGGGCAGGCGGCAATTGAACTCAATGCGGAAGTGGCTTTAGCTTCTTAGTGCCGTGCTTCAACCTGCTGCGCCACCGGGGAGGGCCACCACTTGCCTTTTAATTAAAAAGTCAGCCAGAAGTGTTTGGCATTTCTTTAGTGCTCATCATACATTTTATTTCTGAATTTTTTATAATAATTATTTAATGATTACAATATTGAATAAAATTCTTTAATACTGCATGTTTCATTTTTCATATGTATTTCCTTAAATAAAGCATTCTTAGTTCTCTTATTTGTACTGTTGTATTTATGAGTATTCACTGATATTTTAGAAGTCAGTATAAAAGGTAGACAAGTATGTCTTTCCCAGTAGAAAAAGGGAAAAATTGAAAACTGGCAGTTTTCTTAAAAAGAAAAGTGGTGAATAATCATAAGAAAGATGTTTTAGAATAGTTTCAGTCCAATGCAAGTTAGAGTAAATTTACTGTGTTCACCTACATATTAGGAAAAGTTTTGATAACCTCATACAATATTGATAGGAATGTAAGTTGGTACAGTTTGTCTTGTGAATAATTTGGCATTATCTCCCCATCTAAGAAATACATCTTCTGTTTAGAGAGGCTGCAATCCTAATGCTAGGGATTTACTATTATAGCTCTATTCATAAGCTTTATATCTAAAGGCGATCAAGATATATGTATAAATAGGAATGGGTGAGGGATAGCAGGTTTAGATGTTTATTTCAGCATGTTAATATTAGAAGAAAACTGGTTAACACTGGCATCCATCAAAATGAGAACTGGTTAAAAAATATTCACTTGGTGAAGTAATAGTTTTCATAGGTATTATAGAGTTAGGTTGTTCATATCTGTCTGCTGATAAAGAGCTTATTGAAAATAAAAGCATGTGTGATTCTTTAAGTTATCACTTAAAAATATAAATGTATATGTGTTCTCTTTTAAAAGACAGATTACAAGCCATTAATTGTGGTTTGGGGAGAAAGGATTACAGTGGGCAGCAGGAAAGAAGGCTTTCATTTTGTTTCCTTTTTAAAAATCATTCTTGTTCCTTTTATCTGACTTATTTATCATCTTTTAATTATAGCTAGTTTTATTTTTTTTTTAAAGATTTATTTATTCATACAGAACTGTGGTACAGGCCAGAGATGCGGCGGAGGAGAGGACTCACCAGGGACAGAGTGGGGAGCAGAACAGGTAGATCAACGAATTACACTGCTGAGGGGAGCAGCAGGTGGGCCAGGAGAGGTCTGCCACACCATGTGGATCTCCTCCAGGGCAAGCGGGGATCGAACTCATGCAGAAGTGGCTTTAGCTTCTTAGTGCAGTGCTTTAACCCGCTGCGCCACCAGGGAGGGCCCTATAGCTAGTTTTATTAATTGCTTTCATAAATATCAATAGACTACCTTGGTAGGGATATTATATTATATTCTGTTCCTTTTTTAAAAGGTCTTTGTAATTAAAAAATATTACTTTGAGGGACCTTTTTTTTGAGACTTGACCAAGGAACTCTTTTGGTTTTGGTCAGTTTACCCATTCTGAAGAGATTAAGAAACTTTTCATTAACGATTGAGTCTATTCCAATATATTTGAAAAACCTTTAAGTCACTGCGACCACTATCCATCAAAACTCCTTTGAGATGGATGGGTGAAGTTTCATCTTCATACTGCTTTTGTGTTAATGCTTTGCTCCAGCAGTATGGGGTCCTAGTGCTGCAGAGACTATAAATTGAATGGAGTAAGGCTTAAACAAGAAATGTGTGTTTATGAAGGTGAATAGTTTTAGTATAAAAAATGTGGGAATAATTGCTTTAATTTTTTTTTCCAAGACAAAAAAATGTGTTCTCAGTTTTCCTTAACTTTGTGCTGTGCCAGTCAGATTAGCAATCCTCCCTATTCCTCTTGCTGAGCTTTAGCAGGTGTTTGGAGTACCAACAGCAGACTTCACCAGAATAACTATTGATTTACGCAATTACAATTAATATGTTGGCCTTTCTTGGCACTTTTTTTAACTTCATTTTAAAAATTTTATTTGGGGACCCTCCCTGGTGGTGCAGCTAGTCAAAGCACAGCACTAAGAAGCTAAAAACCAGTTCCCCATGAGTTCGATCCCGGCCTGCTCCGGAGGTGACCACATGGCGTGGCAGACCTCTCCTGATCTACCCGCTGCTCCCGTCAGCAATGTACTTCAATGATCTGCCTGTTCTGCTCCCCACTCTGTCCCTGGTGAATCCTCTCACCACCTCTGCACCTCTGGCCCATACCCCAGCTCTGTATGCATAAATAAATAAATCTTTAAAGAAATTTTTTTATTTGGAAATAACATGATTTCCGCAAAAATCGAAGTATAAAATAATGCAAAGAACATTTGCATGTCCTTAACTTTTTACTGCATTTACAGTTAACATTTGTATTTACCCTGTATATATTTGTGTGTGTTTTTTGTCTTTGTATAATATTTTTCTCTGATCTATTTGATGGTTCTTTATCCTTAAATACTTAAGTGTTTATTGCCTAAAAATAGGTTAGAGCACTGTCTCTCTGCCCTGTATCCTTCCTAGTCTATTGCCCTCCCTTGAAAAGAACCAGCTTTATTGTGTTCTCATTTATCCTTCCTGTTAAAGATGGCTATATGTTTTCTTACTTTTCATTCTTTCTTGTCTAAAAGATAATATACTATGTATGTTATTTGTACGTGACTTTTTCAGTTAGCAGTTCTTCCTGGAAGTCATTTGATTATCAGTTTGTAGAAACCTTTCTCATTTAAGATAGTTGCTTAATACTTAATTTGTATATGTACCATAATTTAGTCAGCTATACTTAATCATTTAGGAACTTTCCAATAATTTAAAATTACAGACATCTTTGGTAAGTAACCTTGCTGCATATGAGTTTTTAAATTGTTCATGTATCTTTGAGATAAATTCATAGAAGTGAAATTCCTGGGTTGAGGAGTAAACATATGTGTAGTTTTTTTAGAGATTTATTTTTATGCATACAAGAACTGGAGTGTAGGCCTGAGGTGTGGGGAGTGGAGGTTGTGAGAGCATTCACAGAGATAGAGTGGGTATTAGAAGTGGTGTATTTACTGAAATACACTGCTAAGGGGAACAGCAGAGCAAGACAGGAGAGGTCTACTGCACAAATGGGTTAGCTCCCTGGCTGGGGATTGAACTCAGGCAGTTTCGGTAGTAGCACTAAGCACTAACCCCTAGGCCACCATGGAAAACACTAAAAGTATATTTCCATATAGCATCTCCAACTGAGTATATTTTCAAACTTGGATTTTTGCTAGCCCCATGGATAAGTTTTTATTATATATATATAATTTTAATTTTCTTGTTACACTTTTTTTTTTGGTTCTATATTAAGATATATTTCCATTTATTTATGCTGACAGGCCTCTAATTTCAGAAACAAATTCACTTTGAAATTCAGGTGAAAATTTGATTATTCACAGTACTGCTGGCATTTCTACCTGAATACCTATGTTCTTTTCAGTGTTTCTTCTGTTTTGTTTTGTATAGCACCTTTTCTTTTTCAGATACCTTAAGTATGATTGTGATTTGAAGCTAATTAAGTAAAAAGATGTAATTTTTTCAGTGTTACTTTTTGTTAACCTTTTGATCTTTGATAGCTAATATAGTTAATGGTCTCATAGCTAATGTAGTTAACGGTCTCTTGCTTTTTAATATTTTTGTTGAAGCTATTGTTAGTTTCTTTCTTTTTCCTATAGAACATTCCTGATGTAGATGAAGAAGGCTATAGTATAATTCCAGAAGCAAATCAGAATAATATCCTTTTTTGGTGGATCATGGTGTAATATAAGTATACATTATAACAAAATCTTATTTCTAAAGATTTAAGATTTTTAAATTATAATAAAATGACTTCATATTCTTCATTTGACAAGTTTTTAATTAAAAAGTACTTTTTCTGTTAAAGTTCATCTTAAAGGTTTTTTGTTTTTATTCCTTTTTATAAATGTGTGAGAAAGGTTATACATTCAGAGAATTTGAAAACTGAGTTCTTTAACTGATGCTCACATACCAAAGAAAACCATTTCTACTCATCTAGTGATTCTGATTCAGATGATGAAGAACCAAAGAAGTTTCGGATAGAAATCAAACCTATGCATCCAAATAACTCACATCACACAATGGCTTCTTTGGATGAATTAAAAGTATCTATAGGAAATATAACACTCTCCCCAGCAATATCTGTAAGTAAGAAAATGAACAAGTTTGTGCTCCTATTACAGAAGCTTACTCATATACATCTATTTTAACTTAGCTACCTGAATGTGGTTAATTTTAGGAATAATAAAAATTACATAAGCAGTCGTTTAGCAGTTAATTTTGGGCTTGAAAAATAGATATTATGAGTATATTTTGTTGCCAGTTTGCTTACTTAGCTTAAGTCTTTCTCCCTCAGCAATTGTGTTTAAGGTGTATGGCTTCTAGGCATAGTTCAGAAAGAAGCAGACAAATAATGAGAGCAGGAAAGTAACCTTTTAAATTCTAAAATGAACACTGTCTTTTTTCCTTCCATGTACTACCAGAGACACAGCCCAGTAAGTGAGATTTTATGTTTTTTCTTCCTACTGACCTAAAAAAAAATTTATCGTAATGTTTGAACACTGATTTTCAAAATAATTTTGTTTTTAAATTAACAAAACATGCTTAAGTGTTAATATTTTGAAGCATTTCATTGTTAAAAGTACATGTATCATTTTATTATAAAATAAAAATTACTTGGAAGCTTTTTCATATTTTTTTGCTTTTTCATATATTTTAACATTAATGCAGTTTGCATTTGAGTAGTATTAAAAACTTTAGGTTCCAATATTAATATTTTACTAAATATTTCATTACCAAATAAGTTATTTAATACTATTTAGTTTTTGCATTTCTGTTTCAGGTGCAGATGAATCGGAATTCATCTAGTAAGTTTGACTTCTACAATATTTTATGTCTATTAAAATTCATCAGTTTGCTAAGCTTTAGCCTTGTGTATGTAGTTATCAAAACAAATGATCTTATAAGCCTTTAGACTGGAAAGGTGTGCATTTTAAAAAGAAAAAAACTTGTTTACCTTATTTCATTGAGACATACCTTAAATTTCAATAAATTGCTATTATAGCTTTATTTTTTTTTAAATAAGTAAAGCCAAAGAGTAGCTTCTGATTAAGAATGTTATAGTGTTTAACTGATATACTTTATATCATGAGCTGGAAGGCATTTGTAAGATGAATATGCTTTAGCTTTACCTCTTCCTAAATCATTTCAAAATTGCAATTTCTGTAAAGGGGTTCTTAATGTAGTAACTTAATTACATTAAAAACTTTTGGGGGGTTCTCCCTTGTGGTGCAACGGGGGAAGCACTGAGCTCTCCAAAACCACTGTAGCACAAGTTCGATCCCCAGCCAGTGAGCTGACCCACATGGCATGGCAGACCTCTCCTGACCCGCCCACTGCTCCCCTCAGCAGTGTACTTTGTCAGTCTGCCTGTTCTGCTCCCCACTCTGTCTCTGGTAAATCCTCTCACCTACCATACCTCTGGCCTGTACTCCAGTTCTGTAATCATAAATAAAGAAATCTTAAAAAAAAAAAAAAAACAAAAAACTTTCTTCATGGTAATGAGATGTGTATATGGCATTTGTCTTTACATTAAAGTATTACTCAAATTACAAACTTTCCTATAAACTTTCAATTTTTTAACTAGGTGAAGAGTTAACAAAGTCAAGATCTGCTGTGTCCAATGAGTAAGTTCCATGTTTTAAATGAAAATACATGTTTTTAGGGCACTTTTAGGTTCATAGTACAATTGAGTATTACAGAAATTTTTGCATATAGTCTTGCCAGCACATACCCCAAGTCTCCCCTACTGTGGGAAGCCCCCACCAACCAAAGTGAGCACACTTACTACAATTGATGAACATACACTGACACATGATCACCCAAAGTGATGAGCTTTAATAGTTTATATTAAGGTTCACTCTTGGGGTTGTATATTGTATGGATTTTCACAAACAGGATAATGACATGTATCCACCATAAATTATACAGAAGTTGCACTACCATAAAATTCTTGTTTTCTACCTATTCTTTCCACTATATTTAAATTTTAAGTATCCTTTTTTCCTACTTTTTTTTATTGCTGCAGTTTAAATTCCAGTAGAACTCTTAATTGTGTTTTTCTAAGCTGTGACACATCACGTGAAGTTTTTTCAGTTTTTCATCAGACAGTATTTTTTAATAATTTTTTAAACCCAAGCTGTATTTGGCCATGGTGACATTACTGCTTCTAATTAATGATAGTAGTCCTGGTTTATAAGTGTATGTCTGTATTTCAACTAGCTAGTTTCATGAAATTTTTCTAACTTTCCCCCTTCACTTTTGATTGTGACCTTATCAAATAAAATGTATTTGTGAGCTTGAGCATCTTAATTGAATTGACAAAGGAGACATTTTGCATGTGTCCTTTTCTACCTTTGTATCAATAACAATTCTTTCAGTTAAACTTTTTGCATGAACAAAAGTAAAAGTAGTCTTATATAATTTAAAATTATATGATAACCTTTGAAACTAGGTACTAAGTGAGCACAGTAGTGGTATTAGTTTATCATTTTCAAAGATAAACTGGTGTTTTAAAACATTATTTTTAGGAAATATTTATGTAATTGTGATTCTAGACTATTATCCAAGTAGTGCATTGTTGAGATATTAGATATGCTTGTAGACTAACTAGTGGGCTTGCCTTTTTTAAGACATACTGGCAGTTTGATATATTAAAATAATGTTTATGGGAATTGTCTTTTTTTAACACCAGGAAATTTTTGTCAGTCCTATCTCAAAACTAGAAACAAGTGGTGGCAAAAATCAGGTATTTCAGGATCCTACAGCTTAGACATTTTTTAGAGGATATGACTAAAATAAAAAAACATTCATATAGAAATATATATTAAAGAACTAGGGTGTTGAATCCTAAGTGTCACCAGACCCATGATTCTGAAAGGTCAGTGGAAGAAAATACTGATTTTGTGGCATGTTAAAGTTTTTTCAAACTAGAAAGTTGATGCTTTTGATTTTTGTCCATACATATTTTCCCATACTCTATTACCTCTCCTAAAACGGCAGGTATGTCCCAAACATTTCATTACACTGCCTTAGTGGCCTAGGCAGTATGTTACCAAGGGAGAAATTCTGCCTCTGCATGATCTACTGCAGTGATAAGATCTTTGAACTCTGTATCAAGTCATTGGGTTTTAAGCTACCATTCTGTGCCTGAGAAATAGTTTTTCCTAGCCCTTTGTTATCTTAGAAAGTATGATCTTGTAAAATTTCTGCCTGATTTCATATCATTTAAGAAATTTTCTGACCAAGTGTGAATTAGCCAACCTGACGCTACTATAAAATCAAGTAGCTTTATGTCCTTAAGGCAACTCATTTAGATACTCTGTGGGGCTTTTTATCATTTGTAAAACTTCATCATCATCTCTGTTCTGACAACTCCTACGTTTGTTAGCATACAACATGGTATAGTCAGTGGATATTAGGTATCAGAGTCTGCTCTTCTCTATCAGTTTGACATAATGTTATCATAGGTTCTGTTCACAGAAGTTAACATTATTGGCTTATTAAATCTGTTAATTTTCTTCACATATTTCATTGGCAGAATATCCAACTTTAAAACTAGATATATCTGAACTCTTGGAATTCTATGAAATAAAAATGTGACTAGATTTTATAATGAAGTATTTCTTTGTTAAAATTTTTAATTTTAAAATGTTATGGTAGGAAAGGGACCAGTGATTTACTTGCTTGGGACCCCCTGTTTGGACCATCCCTTGATTCATCATCTTCAGCTTCACTAACTTCATCATCATCAGGTAAATATATATATACATATATTTTCTTTTTAACTCAGGAATGCAGTGGCACCTGTTTTCTAATTGACATTTACCACTTGTGTGTTGTACTTACTGATTAGAAATTTTTTTGCACTAGTCCTCTGATCATGTTGCCTGACGAGTGATTTTATACTAGATTTATTAACTTAGCTTAAAGATACTTCATAGAAATTTATTAAAAACCAACTTTTTTCCATTTATTTATTTGTATCTAGGCATATAATGTACATAATGTGCTTATATCAGTGCCCAAATAAAAATTCTTATTGCTTATTGATAATTCAGCTGCATATCTGTACATTAATATTAACCAGTCCTCTCTTACTGGACATTCAATTTACATCTGATTTTCTAGTGTTATGAACATTCATTGACATAATGATTTTATAATAATTAATCAGTACAAGATTTATGAGTCACACAATATGCCCATTGATACTTATTGCCAAACTGCTTTCCAGAAAGGCTTTAACATTTACTAGTGTAGCAAGAATATGTCTTTTCTACAAAACACAGAATCCCCTCAGCCAATATTCAAATAGACATCAAAAATACATGTTTAATAGAAACCACTTTTATTATCTTGTTTAAAGCAAAGAATAAAATTAAGGTGATCTTTAACTTTCTTTTGGATTTTAGAGGTATGGTTTGGTATTTGAGATTATGGGGTGCTAGAATGCTAGAACTGAGTTCCAGCTACATTACTCTTTAGGAGCTATGCATATTCTGTTTAATTTCATCATGCAAACTGCTGCATGAGTTCTTTTTGTCCCTATTTCATAAACAAAAGTAATGTTCAAAGGTGATGAGGAAGTTCTTAAAGAACATGCAACAAAAGTAATGATGAAATAGACTCAGAACTTGATTTTATTTTAAAATCTTTGCTCGGTGCATCATACTCTGGCACGTTAAATAGTAAAGCCGTGTTGATGCACTTTACTACTAAAAATAATTTAAAACACTAGCATTTAGACTGCTCAGAATATTTTATATATTCTAATATTTTTTAAAAGTTATAAATGATATATAGGCAACTTTAGCCTGAAACAGATTGAAATTTTGAAAGGAAAGTGATTTTCTTTAGTATTTGTAGAACAGTCAGTACTTACTTTATAATATGTTCTGAAATGGCATTATAACTTTTGTCCTTGGGGATTTGTTACTACATAGTTTTATATATTTTGGGGCCTTCAGTTTTACCCATATGTATTTTTTTTTTTAAACCGGTCAGATTCTGGATCTAGAAAACCCATCGTCAGACTTTCCCATTAACCTTATGTACTATTCTGCTGTCTCAGTGCCACCAGAGGTATAAGTACATTTGCTTTAGTTTAATGGTCTCATACTTAGTGGATTTTCTTTGCTGATAGACTTGTTATTCTGAATCACTTTAGTGCATCTCAGAAGGCATACCAGACTTTGCATTGTAAAACTGAAAATGCCTTTGGTTCCCTTCAGGCTTTAGATGACAGATCTTCCAAGAGCTAATTGAAGATCAAAGTAACCTTTGCCATAATAAAAGATGCCCTGAAAAATTACATGAAGAAAAATTATTGGCTTAATTTTTGTCTACATCGTCAGCATTGCTTTTGGATTCTTGATGACATGGGAAATGTGGTCTGTGCGAGGACAGATCTAAATTAGCTCTTCTCTCCTATGTTTTATACTTTGCAGGTTATTTCTTGAAATACTCCATCTAATATAATATAGACTTTTCTTAGGAGTAAACTTTACCATCACCATCACCACTGCTATTCCTGCTACAGAACAAAGCATAGTTAAGACACTTAGGCATGTAAACAGTTGTAGTGTTCTCCTCCAGAGGATTCTAAAGCAGTGCCTAATTGGTATATGTAAAATGATTTATTTATAATCAATGACATGTTAAAATTATTAGCTTTCCTTAAAAAGCAAATTCTTATTATTTGGAGAAGCTGATTTAGCACTTTTGGTAGGTTGGCTTTGAGTCATGCTTTGGGACAGGCCATGTAAATGTCTGCTGTACTTAGTGCTCTCACAAGCTGCAAGTAATCAAAGAGCATTTATTAAGTGTTAGTTTCGTAATGAACATATTTTTTAAATGTCATAACAGGTAAGTGTATACAACACATCAGGCCGGTATACCTTTCCTCCAGTGAACAGCGTAAAGTAGAAGTGCAGCATGAAAAAACTGGTGCCCGACTGTGAACAGGCAGTAACCTAGAATATAAATTTTATTTCTTGTTAACTTTTTACTGATTTCTTCAGGCAACCAAAGTTGTGCTTGAATCTTACATTCCTTCATTTGATATGCTTTCTACATGATTCTGTGCACCCCCCATGCATTTACTTCACTTCTGTGTGACTACCTTTTTGCTTTGACTCTTTGCTGCTACCTCCATTTATGACCAAGGATTGTGAGCTTTACTGTTTGTTTCCCTTTGCGTATACCTAGGCCACTTCATATATTTCTACTTTTGCACATTTGTCAGCCTAAATACTTATTTAAATGTTTCTTCTCATTTATCGTTTATTCTGTCTCTGAATTATAGTCCCATCTTTTAGAATGAACTGGAGATTTGAAAATTATTTGACTTAAAGATGATTAAAACATGTTTGCTTCCATTCTTCACTTTAAAAAAAATATTTATATTTATTTGTGCATACAAGAATTGGGGTGTAGGCCAGAGGTGTAGAGGTGGAGGATAAGAGGATTCACCAGAGACAGAATGGAGAGCAGAACAGTTGGATTGACTAGTGAAATACACTGCTGAGGGGAGCTGCAGGTGAGACAGAGGTCTACTGCACCATGTGGGTCAGCTCTTAGCCAGGGATCGAACTCATGCCACAGTGGCTAGTGATAGCTTGATAGCACTGTGCATGAGGTCCCATCATTCTTCACTCTTGCTTTAATTACAGTAATACACTTGTGACTTTTGATAAGACACTGAACTTCATTAATTTCTACCATGATGAGTGTTAATTTGTAACACTAAGATTAGAACTTCTGATCTGTAAAACTGTAAAATTTAGCATAGTATTAAAGTATTGAACACTAAGTTTATGTAGGATTAGGAAAATTTAAGGTATTACTTTGACACATTAAAATTAGTTTGGTCATGTGAGGAATTTTTTTTTTTTAAAGATTATTTGTGCATACGGAAGTGGGGTACAGGCCAGAGGCTCAGGGGCGGTGAGAGGCTTCACCAGAGACAGAATGGGGAACAGAACAGGCAGGTCGACGAAGTACACTGCCAAGAGGAGCAGTGGGCGGGTCAGGAGAGGTCTGCCATGCCATGTGGTCATCTCCGGGGCAGGCGGGAATTGAACTCATGCGGAAGCAGCTTTAGATTCTCAGTGCTGTGCTTTAACCCACTGCACCACCAGGGAGGGCCTCTGTGAGGAATTTTTAACATACACTGCTAAGGTATTGTTTAATACTTAATACAAAAAGGTTATAATGTGGGTTAAATTTAAAAGTCAAATTACAAGTTTAATGTAAATGTTTTTAAAGTTTGTTATTAGCCTGTTACATCTTTAGGGCTTACATTACTGTTTATAAAGTAAATGTATTGGCAATAAACTGAAGACTGACCTTGCGTCTTTTAATTGAAGTAACTGGTTTACAGCACTGTAAGATTTAGAGATACAGGCACACTCATCAGATAATGTGTTGTGGGACCTTAGATCTTAAATTGGTTTATTTTCACCGGCTAATTTGTCAGATTTAATTTTTTGAATGTGTAAATAATTGAGACAGGAACATAATCTACATATCGTGTCAATTTTATTGAAAAGTTGTTCTTTTTTTAGAATTATTGGTACCTTCCAAAACATATTTAATAGATTCTTCGTATTTCCACAAATATCTGTAGTTACATATTTTTAAAAAAACTCCTGAGAAATGAATTTTGAATCCTAACAGTACTGTCTATAGACTGTCTATAGAAGAATGGTATATACTAATCACTTTCTTCAAATTCTTTCCCTACCCCCACCAGCCAGGCCCACAACTCCTCTTTCCGTAGGTACCATTGTCCCACCTCCAAGGCCTGCTTCCAGACCAAAGCTTGCTTCTGGCAAACTCAGTGGAATTAATGAAATAGTATGTACTCATTTTTTAAAAAATTATAACTGTCTTGATTTAAAATGCAAATGATATTTTTTGATATGCCCTTTATAGTTAAATGCTTCAAAATTTCTACTTCTTGATTCTTCAAAATATAGAAACATTTACTTGCCCAACATTTCTTTTCACTCTAGCATATTGCCTCAGTGAGCATATATGTGGTGCAAGGAATTGTTAGGAGGACAGAAATTTCCTAAGAAAGTTGGCATATTATAGAGACACCATCCTGTACCCATTGTTTCCCCACTTAAATAATTTTCATATAATTCTTTCAAAGTCAAATATTCAGGAAGAAACGAAACTGTTCTTGGAACTTAGAAGAATACCACTAGGATAACCCTTAGAGGGCATCTAGCCCAACCTGCATTATTTTATACACAAGGAAACTGGAATTTACATGATTTAATTAATTTATGAAAGTACATTAATTGCTTAAAAAAATTTTGGTCTACAGAAGTTATTAGACAGTGAAAAAAATTTATGGGTTCAGTTGAATAAGGCCCTCCCAATTACTCTTCTTGCCTTCTGTGTGTTCTGATTTGCTTCATCTTTGACACTAGTTGCCAGAAATAAGTTTCTGCAAGTCAAGATGAATCTTATTTTACCCCTGATACACATTTCTAGTGATTCTCCATTATCCATATGGTTAACTGTTTTAGCTGACTATACTTTTCATATAGTTGCCTCAGTAACCTGCCTTACCAGGCAAACTACTTGACTTTGCAACTTGGGTTCCAGCCACATAAAACTTTCACCAATATTTGCAAACACATCACACTGTTTTAGTAATGTACCCATATTTAATTGTGCCCCTCTTGAAGTATCTTTCAGTCTTCTATGAAAAAACTGACTTCTTATTTTAAGGTCCAGCTAAAGATTACCACCTAGATAAAAAGTCCTCTTTGGTCATTATTTCTTACATAATCCAGTGGATTTAATCATTCTCTAATACCCATTTAATTTACTCATTTCTCTTCGTACATATCATCCTTTCATATGATATGCTTTCTAAAAGATTGTATACTTGTATATGCTTACTTTGTGTGGGTTTTCCTTATGGAACTATCTATGTCTTATCTAGTTTTGTATACTTAGTACTTGGCAGTAGTGCCTCAATACTGACAATAATGCCTGTCACCTGGCATACAGTTAGAAAATGTTACTTTAATAGATGAAAAAGCTGGAGTGTTGATGAAATGCTGGTATTTTTCTTTTACCCCCATCTCTATGAATAGACACAGTGGGAATGACCTGAAAGACTGGATAGGAGCTGGCAAGGAGATAGTTATTATTTAAATAATGCAAAAATTACTACAGCTTTATAACACTAACACTGGTTTTTATGATTATAAAAGCAATGCATATCAGTATAACTTGAAGAAAGAAAAAGCAGAAAGAAAAGTAAATTGATTTATCTTTCACCACCTTGGGTAACTAACTACTGTTAACATTTTCTTACACATTCTTTCATTAAATGCCTAAGACTTTATCAAGAAAAAGTAAACACTTAGCTGTTAAAAACAGGCTCTTAATAGCCACTAATTACCTAAACATTTGGCAACTTACTTATCTGAAGTCCTGTTTCCTTATGGGTAAAATAGGTATATCGATAATAGATTGCTCTAAGACTTCAATGATAGTGTAATACACATAACACATGTAACATTGTCATGTGCAAGTAAATTGCTCAAAAAATTTACAAATGGTATGTGTATCTTAAAAAATAAAAGGTCTATGTTCTTCAGTTAAAAACATCTTAGTGTGTCTCTAGTTGACAGATTATACCATAGTTTTCAGACTTCTTTAAAGTGGTAGTTTCCTTTGTCAAATAATCTAGGATTGTCAAATAAGTAAAAGTGAGTTTTTTTGTAGTGGAATCCTTATATCATCCTTCACTCCCTGCCTTAGCTTTGAGAATTTCTAGAAACTACAGGCTGAGGGCTTTAGGGAGCACAATTTGAAAAGACTTAGGAACATAATTGTTTCATCTTCTATTGTCAGCATTTAATTTCCCAAAGGTTTTAGAAATTTGACATTTTTTATTTTGAGCTTTCATTATAAAAAACTTAATATTTATGGCCCTCCCTGGTGGCGCAGCGGGTTAAAGCACAGCACTGAGAATCTAAGGCCGCTTCTGCATGAGTTCGATTCCCGCCTGCCCCGGAGG